GAGATCCAGTGAATGAATGAGAAAGGTCTGGTTTGAAAAAGCTTCCAATTTGGCCAGTTCCCAGAAAATGTGGTTTAGTACCACCATACTCTGCTTTAGGATCCAGGATAGAGAAGTTTCGGGTGTTTCAGGACTGAATTAGCCAACTACTTTGCTCCCAGAGGCTTAGCATTTCACTAGGATCAGAGGGCCGGAGAAAGTGTAGCAGTGCTTCACTGGGGCATCTGTACCCTTATTGCATTGTTATTTTGGTTATTCATTCCCTTTCTCCTCCTAACCACCAACCATCTTGTACAGCGGACATGGCAGAGATCTGAGGTATCTGGGACCAAGAAACATTAGGCAACCAGACCACAGATCCCATATTATTCCTTGGAAAGCATGAGGGATGCATGTGAGGTCCAATGCAAAGAATTCCATGGAATCTAGAAGCAAGAGACTTAACATCCAGTTCTAGTTTCACCACTCATTAGTGGTTTCAGACAAGTCCTCTGCCTTTTGGTTTCATTTTCAGGCTGCCCTAACTGCCTAATAGGAACAACTTAGGGATACTACAGCAGATAACAAAAGCATCAGAAAAACATTACAATGCAATATAAATGTATTATTTCCCCATAATTCTGACAGCTGAAGTTAAAATTATTAAATTATATCTCACCATGCTTTTCACTAAGCTGAATATTTCTCTACCCTTGCAAAGATAGCTGCCAGAGTCCTCCCCTAACATCCACCTCTGTCCACACCCTTGCTGCGTTTTGGGAGAACATGGGGCCTTGCTTGGGCAGGTGTCTCTCAGGGCATTCTCTCACCCCTCATTCTCTGTCTTGTGTCTCTCTTCTGCCTTGCAGGTTGCTGGCAGACTGATCATCCATGTAGATGAACTGGCCCACATGTGGAAGGTGCTGAGTCTCCCAACAGATCTGTTTAATAGTATGATGAATGTGGGCTGCTTCACAGAGGAGATCGAGTGGCTTAAGTTTTTAACCCTTGCTTGCAGCTCTCTTGGAGTTGTAAGTTAGCTTTAATGCTTTTTCTTCCTTAAGGGAAAAACTCTCTGGGCCTGGAAGGGCAGTACATCTATAGCCATGGTCAATAGTCAAGTCTCCAGGGCTGATGATAAGTATGCTTCTTCTTGTCTACTCTTTCTCTTCTCTGAATTAGGTAATTTATCTGCTCATCGGCCAGAAGCAGAAGCTAGGAGGGAAAGAGAGGGGAAAACTGTCATCAGGCTCTGGGGAGAGGCTGACTAAAATGTGGCTTTTGATAATTCTTTAATTTCAGTCATTGCACTCAGATTTATTTCTATCACCACTGCACTCCCCCCATTCATATTCCCAAAGATAACCAAGAGCCAGCTGTAAAATAAGATTTGCTTATACTTGAGTTCCAGATACCTAGAAGATATACCAACAGAGACTTTTAAAAAGAGATGCAGCCTTACAGGAAACTACTGTTTGATATGCATAATTGGATGCAAAAATCAGAGATGAGAGAGCAGGAAAGGGGAGATGAGGCTATTTCTAGATTTATAGTCATGACATTACCATGGATGCAGGATGCTCATACAAATTCATGCATTTTCCAATTTTGACTTGATTTACAATTGGAAAAGCCGTTTTCCTGTTTTAAAGTATAAGATACTGCAGCCAGTTCATATGCATATTTAAAAGCTTTAGTTATCATCATATGTGTGGACTCCCTTTTGCAACTTAAATAAAAATGAATCTGAACTTAAATGAAAATGAATCTGAAGCATGGTTTTTTAAAAATCCCTGAAATAGACAAGTTTAAAAACTAATGAGAAAATTATTGCTTCTGCTGAAACCAAATGGTACAGAAAGGTAATTAGAATAATTTGTCATACCTAAACATGATCTTATTCTTCCTTCCTGAATATGCTTGGAATGTATATTTGATATATTGTTTCTGAGGAAAGTTACCAGACATATTGTAGGTCAATTTTCCTATGAGCTTTCCCTGCAATTTTCATCATAATCATGCAATCACCTCTGAAGAAAGGAGAAGAGAGGCCAGTTGTGTTTTTTGCTTTTTTGTCTTGGTTGTCCTTATCACAACATTATACAATGAATAAATTACTAGAACTCTAATGATGAAAGAAAAATGCAGCAGGGGAAGGTGAGCTGCCTATCCCCACCATCACACTTCTATGAAAATAACCCCAAGGACTGGGGAAAATCACAAGAAGGAAAATAAAATATTGACACATTTTATTAAGTTCTCATACGGTCTTTTATTAAGGTCTCACTCCCCCTTATTTTTTATTTTCTCTGTAGTTAATTCTGATCTTCCTGATCTACTCCACCCACAAAGGGTAGAGTAAGAAAATAAATAGATACAATCCAGTCCGGGAGTTTTAGACTGATATCATCACTGAAACACTTTAAAGTAGCTTGCCTAGTCTCAGACTTCTCCACACTGCTCCTCTCTTTAAGATGGCAGCTGAGTGTACAGGGGAAGGGGTGACTCCGGACCTCCGAGCAGCCAAGGGAAGGGCTTCCCACATCTCTTGGTCCTCAGTGGCACAGCTGATCTCCATGGAAAAAAGTACTCATCCAATGGCCAGTTGCTTGCAGCTTAGGTCCCTGGTCTCTTCCCTCTTACAGCACAGTAGTTCCCCGCCAGCTCATCCGCACTCTCCCTGGTGCTGAGAGCCTCCTGGGGCTCGCCCTCGTCTGTCCCCTGGTTTATGGTCCAATATGAAACAAATGGGTATAATTGGTCTGGTTCTACCTCTTTTAACCCCTGTTTAACAGCCCCTCACCACCTTGTGAGATGTGAGTCCACATCGCTCACAGTCACCAAGAGTGACTTTGGAAGGCCAAACCGCAACCCTCCCTCTGCTTGGCTCCCTGTGCAGCTGCGAGGCTTACTTTGGTGTGGTTGTCTCCCAAATTGCAGGGGAAACCATGAGGTGAATTGTATCTTTCTACCTCCCTCCTAAAATGAGGAGGTTGGATTAGGTGTTCCATGAGGTTCCTTCCTCTCTAACATTCTGTGATCCTGTTCCCCTTCTGTGCTTCCACTGAGACACCCTCAGTCCTGGCTCTGCATAACAATGTGCCCCTCCAATTTCAAGAGGTCCTGAGGTATCTGACTGACCTTCATGATCCCTATGTCAAAGAACACCTAGAGGTAGAATCAGCCTGGAGGGCTAGTCCCTAAATAAAGGGTGTCCTGTGAATCCAGGAACCAGACCAATTATACCCATTTGTTTCATATTGGACTATTGCTAGGAACTTAAATGTGAAAGTGTCAGGGGTCACCATCTGGTGGAGGCTTTGCATTCTAGTCATAGCCCTAGAGGAGAGCCCAGGGATTTCCTCCTTTCTTTGCCAATACAATACAGCTAGCCATGGTCTTTGTGCCATTTTAAAAAACACATTCCCTCCTTGAGGAGGAGTCTAACGGCAGGAATTTGAGGTAGCAGGTACATTTACTCCAGTCCTGAGCTTCCTGGGTCTGCCCGCATGATTGAAAATGCTGTGGCCTGCAGACATCTCAGTATTCCTTCCCCTAGACTAGCCCATCCCACCTCCTGTTCCACTGAGGCTGATGAAATGAAAGGAAGGGATCGTGGTCGCTGGAAGGAATGACATCTTTGTTAGAAATCATTCACTTTCTGAGCCTTTCCCCTCTGAGTTTGAAAATGAGACTCATACGATGCCTAAAAGCTCAGTTAGGGACCCATCTGACCAGAAAGGTTTATGCGACAGAATGCAAAGCTGTTTACTTTCGATGTAAGTTTTACAAAAAGCTACAGTCCAGTCCAGAGAGTTCTTTATCCATCCTTTATTAAATCTTTTTAAATCTTTTAAAATATTTTCAAGTTTTATGAGGACAATAGAATCTGAAGGTTTGTGTTCAGATGATCAATAAAAGACAATGTTTGGAGTAGGAAGCACCTGTATTAGTCAGCTAGGACTAGGGCTGCACAACACAGTACCACAAGCTGAAGGGCTTACACAACAGAATTTATTTTCTTACAGTTTTGAACGCTGGATGTCTAAGATCAAGGTGTCTGAGGCCTCTCTCCTTGGCATGTAAATAGCCCTGTTTCTTCGCCTGGTTGTCCCTGGGAGCATGTATAGGTCTGGTCTCTCTCTCTCTGTCCTAATCTCCTCATTTTAGAAGGACAGAAGTCCTATTGGATTAGGGCCCACTCTAATGACCTCATTTTAATTAACTACTTCTTTAATGGCCCTATCTTAAAAAAATAGTCACATTGTGAGGTATGAGGGTTTAGGGCTTCAGTTTAGGAATTTTGGGCAAGCACCATTCAGTCCATAACGGCACCCCGACTGGGATGAGACTGCAAGAACAGGACAACAGAACAAAGGCAGTAGAGGAGTAGGGTTTTGTGTTGTTTTTTTAAAGGCAGAGATGATGACCTATGGATATTATTAAGTTCACACATGCTTGCAAATCTACCCCAAACCATTGTCATGCTGACCTCATCTCACACAAATGCCCTTCCATCCTCACTGTCAGCCTCTTACCAGCGTCCTGTCTGCCTGCTCTCCCATCCTCCTTGCTGGAAGTGCCTGGAACACCACCTTATGCAGTGCTTCACAGCAATTTCCAGGAGAGGGCTCCCAAGGGCCCGGGAGAATGAATTTAAGTGGCCTGCTGCAAACCCAAAATTTCTTTGACACATAATGCGGTTTGTCATTTTAAAATTCATGTATACTGATGATTTCATTTCATAAAATAGCAGTGTTTGTAAAGAAACAAAATTGAAATATTAAACCACTTAAAATCAATAATTAATTAATGCAAATGTTTAAATCACTTGCCATCAGGTAAAACTGTCACTCCAGGAAGATAAGCCAAGTTTATTCAGAATCCTCATTAACTCCTGACATACAGATTTATGCCCCTGGGCAACACACATCACAGTTAAAGAAGCACCATGTAGACACCCAGCCCATTCTAGGACAGGAAGGGAGCAGAGCAGCAAGCATCAACTGCAAAACAGATGATCAATAAAAGACAATGTTTGGAGTAGGAAGCACCTGTATTAGTCAGCTAGGACTAGGGCTGCACAACACAGTACCACAAGCTGAAGGGCTTACACAACAGAATTTATTTTCTTACAGTTTTGAACGCTGGATGTCTAAGATCAAGGTGTCTGAGGCCTCTCTCCTTGGCATGTAAATAGCCCTGTTTCTTCGCCTGGTTGTCCCTGGGAGCATGTATAGGTCTGGTCTCTCTCTCTCTGTCCTAATCTCCTCATTTTAGAAGGACAGAAGTCCTATTGGATTAGGGCCCACTCTAATGACCTCATTTTAATTAACTACTTCTTTAATGGCCCTATCTTAAAAAAATAGTCACATTGTGAGGTATGAGGGTTTAGGGCTTCAGTTTAGGAATTTTGGGCAAGCACCATTCAGTCCATAACGGCACCCCGACTGGGATGAGACTGCAAGAACAGGACAACAGAACAAAGGCAGTAGAGGAGTAGGGTTTTGTGTTGTTTTTTTAAAGGCAGAGATGATGACCTATGGATATTATTAAGTTCACACATGCTTGCAAATCTACCCCAAACCATTGTCATGCTGACCTCATCTCACACAAATGCCCTTCCATCCTCACTGTCAGCCTCTTACCAGCGTCCTGTCTGCCTGCTCTCCCATCCTCCTTGCTGGAAGTGCCTGGAACACCACCTTATGCAGTGCTTCACAGCAATTTCCAGGAGAGGGCTCCCAAGGGCCCGGGAGAATGAATTTAAGTGGCCTGCTGCAAACCCAAAATTTCTTTGACACATAATGCGGTTTGTCATTTTAAAATTCATGTATACTGATGATTTCATTTCATAAAATAGCAGTGTTTGTAAAGAAACAAAATTGAAATATTAAACCACTTAAAATCAATAATTAATTAATGCAAATGTTTAAATCACTTGCCATCAGGTAAAACTGTCACTCCAGGAAGATAAGCCAAGTTTATTCAGAATCCTCATTAACTCCTGACATACAGATTTATGCCCCTGGGCAACACACATCACAGTTAAAGAAGCACCATGTAGACACCCAGCCCATTCTAGGACAGGAAGGGAGCAGAGCAGCAAGCATCAACTGCAAAGGGAGAACACTGCTGGCCAGTCAATTGGGGAGGTAGGGCAGCTGCTTGGCTCTTCACCCAGGCACACCCAGGTCACCACTCAAGACGGTTTTTCACTGATCCCTGGGACGTGTTGGAAAATCTGCGCATCACCTGTTTTAGTAAACAAACAAAAATATATGCTGACTTCTCTTTGCTAATTCAGAGCTAAGCAATCCTTTCTTTTTTTTACTCTTTTTTATTTTTATTAAGGTATTATTGATATACACTTATGAAGGTTTCACATGAAAACCAATGTGCTTACTACATTTACCCACACCACCGAGTCACCCAGTACAACCCACTGTAATCACCGTCCTGCAGTAAGATTCCACAGAGTCACTATTTGCCTTCTCTGTGCTACACTGTCTTACCCATGATCCCCCACACACCATGTGTGCCAATCATACCACCTCTGAATCCTCTTCTCCTTCCATCTACAACTGCCCTCCCCACCCCTCCCCTTTGGTAACTGCTAGTTCCTCTTGGAGTCTAAGTCTGCTGCTGTTTTGTTCCTTCAGTTTTGCTTGCTTGTTATACTCCACAAATGAGGGAAATCATTTAGTACCTGTCTTTCTCCACCTGGCTTATTTCACTGAGAATAATGTCCTCCAGCTCCATCCATGTTGTTGCAAATGGTAGGATTTGTTTCTTTCTTATGGCTGAATAGTATTCCATTGTGTATATGTACCACCTCTTCTTTATCCATTCATCTACTAATGTTCTCTTAGATTGTTTCCATTCCTTGGCTATTATAAATAGTGGTGCAATAAACATAAGGGTGCATATGTCTTTTTAAATCTGAGAACTTGTATACTTTGGGTAAATTCCTAGGAGTGGAATTCCCCAGTCAAATGGTATTTCTATTTTTAGTTTTTTGAGGAATCTCCATATTGCTTTCCACAATGGTTGAACTAGCTTACATTCCCACTGGCAGTGTAGGAAGGTTCCCCTTTCTCTGCATTCTCGCCAGCATTTGCTGTTCTCAGTCTTTTTGATGCTGGCCATCCTTACTGGTGTGAGGTGATATCTCATTGTGGTTTTTATTTGCATTTCCCTGATGATTAGTGACGTGGAGCATATTTCCTGTTGGCCATCTGAATTTCTTCTTTGGAGAATTGTTCATATCCTCCACTCATTGTTTAATTGGGTTATTTGCTTTTGGGTGTTGAGGCATGTGAGTTCTTTATATATTTTGGATGTTAACCTCTTGTCAGATATGTTGTTTACAAATATATTCTCCCATCCTGTAGGATGCCTTTTGTTCTGTTGATGGTGTCCTTTGCCATACAAAAACTTTTTAGTTTGATGTAGTCCCATGTGTTCATTTTTGCTTTTGTTTCCCTTCGTTGAGGAGATGAGTTCAGGAAAAAGTTGCTCATGTTTATATTTAGGAGATTTTTGCCTATATTGTCTTCCAGGAGTTTTATGGTTTTATGACTTACATTCAGATCTTTGATTTATTTCGAGTTTACTTTTGTGTATGGGGTTAAACAATAATCCAGTTTTGTTCTCTTGCATGTAGCTGTTAGTTTTGCCAATACCAGTTTTTGAAGAGGCTGTCATTTCCCCATTGTATATCCATGGCTCCTTTATCATATATTAATTGACCATATATGGTTGGGTTTATATCTGGGCTCTCTAGTCTATTCCATTGGTCTATGGGTCTGTTCTTGTGCCAGGACCAAATTGTCTTGATTACTGTGGCTTTGTAGTAGAGCTTGAAATTGGGGAGTGTAATCCCCCCAGGTTTATTCTTCCTTCTTAGGATTGCTTTGGCTATTCGGGGTCTTTGGTGGTTCCATATGAATTTTAGAAGTATTTGTTCCAGTTCGTTGAAGAATTCTGTTGGTAATTTGATAGGGATTGCATCAAATCTGTATATTGCTTTGGGCAGGATGGACATTTTGATGGTATTAATTCTCCCTATCCATGAGCATGGAATGTGTTTCCATTTATTGGTATCTTCTTTAATTTCTCTCATGAAGGTCTTGTAGTTTTCAGAGTATAGGTTTTTCACTTACTTGGTTAGGTTTATTCCTAGGTATTTTTTACTTTTTTATGCAATTGTGAATGGAACTGTTTTCCTGATTTCTCTTTCTGCTAGTTCATTGTTAGTGTATAGGAATGCAACAGATTTCTATGTATTAATTTTGTATCTTGCAACTTTGATAAATTCAGATATTAGATCTAGTAGTTTTGGAGTGGAGTCTTTAGGGTTTTTTATGTACAACATCATGTCATCTGCAAGCAGTGACAGTTTAACTTCTTCTTAACCAATCTGGATGCCTTTTATTTCTTTGTGTTGTCTGATTGCCATGGCGAGGACATCCAGTACTATGTTTTATAAAAGTGGAGTGAGTGAACATCCTTGTCTTGTTCCTAATCTTAAAGGAAACTCTTTCAGCTTCTCACTGTTAAATATGATGTTGACTGTGGGTTTGTCATATATGGCCTTTATTATGTTGAGGTACTTGCCCTCTATACCCATTTTGTTTGTTGAGAGTTTTTATCATGAATGGATGTTGAATTTTGTCAAATGCTTTTTCAGCATCTATGGAGATGATTATGTGGTTTTTGTTCTTCTTTTTGTTGATGTGGTGGATGATGTTGATGGATTTTTGAATGTTGTACCATCCTTGCATCCCTGGAAAAAATTCTGCTTGATCATGATGGATGATCTTTTTGATGTATTTTTGAATTTGGTTTGCTGATATTTTGTTGAGTTTTTGCATCTATGTTCATCAGAGATATTGGCCTGTAATTTGCCTTTTTTTTGGTGTCTTTGCCTGGTTTTGCTATTGGAGTGATGCTGGCCTCATAGAATGAGTTTGGAAGTATTCCCTCCTCTTCTACTTTTTGGAAAACTTTAAGGAGAATGGGTATTAGGTCTTCATAAAATGTTTGATAATATTTAGCGGTGGAGCCATCTGGTCCAGGAGTTTTTTTCTTAGGTAATTTTTTTATTACCCATTCAATTTCATTGCTGGTAATGGGTCTGTTCAGATTTTCTGTTTCTTTCTGGGTCAGCCTTGGAAGGTTGTATCTTCCTAGAAAGTTGTCCATTTCTTCTAGGTTATTCAGTTTGTTAGCATATAATTTTTCATAGTATTCTCTTATAATTCTTTGTATTTCTATGGTGTCCGTAGTGAATTTTCCTTTCTCATTTCTGATTCTGTTTACGTGTGTAGGCACTCTTTTTTTCTTTATAAGTCTGGCTAGGGGCTTATCTATTTTGTTTATTTTCTCAAAGAACCAGCTCCTGCTTTCATTGATTCTTTCTATTGCTTTATTCTTCTCAATTTTATTTATTTCTGCTCTAATCTTTATTATGTCCCTACTTCTACTGACTTTGGGCCTCATTTGTTCTTTTTCTAGTTTTGTTATTTTTAAGTTTGGACTGTTCATATGGGATTGTTCTTCTTTCCTGTGGTAGGCTTGTATTGCAATATACTTCCCTGTTAGCATGGCCTTCACTGTATCCCACAGATTTTTGTGGTGTTGAATTATTGTTGTCATTCGTCTCCATATATTGCTTGATCTGTGTTTTTATTTGGTTATTGATCCATTGGTTATTTAGGAGCATGTTGTTAAGCCCCCATGTGTTCATGAGATTGTTTGCTTTCTTTGCATTATTTATTTCCAGTTTCATACCTTTGTGGTCTGAGAAGCTGGTTGGTATAATTTCAGTCTTTTTTAATTTACTGAGGCTGTTTTGTTGGCCTAGTATATGATCTATTCTTCAAAATGTTCCATGTGCACTTGAGAAGAATGTGTATCCTCCTACTTTTGTGTGTAGAGTTCTGTAGATGTCTGTTAGATCCATCTGCTCTAATGTGTTGTTCAATGCTTCTGTCTCCTTACTCATTTTCTTTCTAGTTGATCTGTCCTTTGAAGTGAGTAGAGTGTTGAAGTCTCCTAAAATTAATGCATTGCATTCTATTTCCCCTTTTAATTATGTTAGTATTTGTTTCACATATGTAGGTGCTCCTGCGTTGGATGCATAGATATTTCTAATGGTTATATCCTCTTGTTGGATTGACCCCTTTATCATTATGTAATGTACTTTTTTGTCTCTTGTGACTTTCTTTGTTTTGAAGTTTATTTTGTCTGATTCAAGAACTGCAACTCCTGCTTTTATCTCCCTATTAGTTGTATGCAATATCTTTTTCCATCCCTTCACTTTTAGTCTGTGTATGTCTTTGGGTTTGAAGTGAGTCTCTTGTAGGCAGCATATAGATAGGTCTTGTTTTTTTTATCCATTCAGTGACTCTATGTCTTTTGATTGGTGCATTCTGACCATTTACATTTAGGATGATTATCAACAGGTATGTACTTATTGCCATTGTAGGCTTTAGAATCGTGGTTACCAAAGGTTCAAGGGTAACTTCCTTACTATCTAAGAGTCTAACTTAACTCACTTAGTATATATGCTATTACAAACACAATCTAAAGGTTCTTTTTTCTCCTTCTTTCTCTTCCTCCTCCATTCTTTATATATTAGGTATCATATTCTGTACTCTCTGTCTATCCCTTGACTGACTTTGGGGGTAGTTGATTTAATTTTGCATTTGCTTGATAATTAATTGTTCTTTCTTTACTGTGGTCTTATTTCCTCTGGTGACAGCTATTAAACCTTAGGAATACTTCCATCTATAGCAAGCAGTCCCTCCAAAATACACTGTAGAGATGGTTTGTTGGAGGTAAATTCTCTCAGCTATTGCTTATCTGGAAATTGTTTAATCCCTTCTTCAAATTTAAATGATAATCTTTCTGGGTAGAGTATTCTTTGTTTGAGGCCCTTCTGCTTCATTGCATTAAATATATCATGCCACTCCCTTCTGGCCTACAAGGTTTCTGCTGAGAAGTGTAATGATAGCCTGATGGGATTTGCTTTGTATGTAATATTTTTTTTCTCTCTGGCTGCTTTTAATAGTCTGTCCTTATCCTTGATCTTTGCTATTTTAATTATTATATGTTTTGTTGTTGTCTTCCTTGGGTCCCTTGTGTTTGGAGATCTGTGCACCTCCATTGCCTGAGAGACTATCTCCTTCCCCAGATTGGGAAAGTTTTCAGCAATTACTTCCTCAAAGACACTTTCTATCCCCTCTTCTCTCTCTTCTTCTTTTGGTACCCCTTTAATATGAATATTCTTCTGTTTGGACTGCTCACACAGTTCTCTAAACATTCTTTCATTCCTAGGGATCCTATTTTCTCTCTGTGCCTCAGCTTCTTTGTATTCCTCTTCTCTAATTTCTTTTTTCATTTATTTTCTCCTCCACCATATCTAATCTGCTTTTAAATCCCTCCATTGTATTCCACAATGATTGGATCTCCACCTTGAATTCATTCCTGAGTTCTTGAATATTTTTCTGTACCTCCATGAGCATGTTTATGATTTTTATTTTGAAATCTCTTTCAGGAAGATTGAGGAATTCCATTTTATTTGACCCTTTTTTGTGGTGTTTGTCAGATTTGGGTTTGATCCAGGTTTCTTTGATGTTTCATATTTGTATATGGCACCCCTAGTGCTCTGAAACTCTACTCTCTGGAGCTGCTCAGTCTCTGGATTGATGTCAGAGGTTGCAGGGCAGCAGTTTTGGTGCCTGTGGGGAGGAAAGGACTGTTTCCTGCTTCCCAGCTGCTATGCCTGTTTCCACTGCCAGAACCAGTGGGTTGAACACACAGGTGTAAGCCTCTATGCTTTGCATTTGTAGCCTCTGTAGGTGGGGCTTCCCTCTGGCTGGTCTGACACTGGGGCAGGGGCTGCCAGTTTGTGAGCCAGATGTAGGCTGGCTGAGAGAAATGCGCAGGAGGCTGTGTATCATGGGGGAAGCCTTGGAGTTACATAGCCAGCTGGTGGGATGGACCGCCCGAAGCTCCTGAAAGTTCCCAACCTGGTGGGGAGAGTGCATCCAAACAATTTTGTCTACCTATCCTTTCTCCTGAGTAGTAAGTTCTGTGCAATCCTTGCCCCTTTAGGAGCCCTCTCGCTGTTAGGAAGTCTCTCAGACTGCCCACCCAGGTCAACCAGATATGAGTCTGTTTCCCACAAGCAGCTGGAATCTCCATCTCTCCTGGTATTCCACCTGTCTTAGCTTTCCAACCCCACTAATCACCAGAGCACCATACAATATAGGTTTGTGCTCTCAGAGAAGATCTCCAGGGATAGGTGTTCAGCAGTCCCAGGCCTCCACTCCCTCCCCACTCCATTTCTCTGCCTCCCACCAGTGAGTTGGGGTAGGGAAAGGCTTGGGTCCTGCCGGATCATGGCTTTGGTACCTTACCCTGTTCTATGAGGTCTGTTCTTTTTTCCAGGTGTATGCAGTCTGTCCCAGCCTTCTTTTCTGTTGCTCTTTCAGGATTAGTTATATTAATTAAATTTTCATATTATATGTGGTTTTGGGAGGAGGCTTCTGTCTCACCTCTCATGCCACCATCTTTAATCCCTCTCAGCAGTCCTTTCTTTGAATCATTTCTTTCCTTTATCCCACCATTACACTTCTCTTTTACTTGTGAAATTTATTCAAAGGTAGATTTGTTTAAAGGCAGGTAAATGAAACCTGTTCTGAACATAATCCTTTAAAACCCAGTTTTCATTGTTAAGGAGTGTTTGCTTCTGTAGCAACCCTCCCATTAAAATGTGGTGTTCATCATCCATTTATTTTTCCACAGTGACAATGAGGTTAGTGTTATGTCATATAAAGTACTGGGTGGTTTTGATCAGATTGATCCACATGTTGTAAAAGAACTGGATTTCATCTGAATGTTCACTGTCACTTTTCCTGTACCTGGGACCCCATCTTTCTGGGCACATTACCCTTGCCTTACCTCCTCCTCCCTGCTATGGCATTGCTCCAAGTTCCTGCTGGAGGATATAAGCTAGACTAATCACCTCAACCCTTTGGAGGTAAGACTAGAGAGCAATAAGAATAAGAAATAATTTTAATTTTACAGAATGTAAAATCACATTCTCCTTTGATTTTAATGAGGTTATTCTGATTAAAGTAAGAAATATCTTAAAGTACTCAACTGTTTATAAACCTAATTCCCTGACTATATCCCTCCAACAAAGACAGGAAAGGGAAAAAGACACACAGTACATCAGTATTTTTTTAGATTGAATTAAATGACCTTTGGGTGTAAAAAAACTCAAGATTTCCAGAACATTTCATCATTCCTACTTCATTTTATAAGGGCAATATTTTTATCTTCTTTCTTGTACTTAACTGGTCTTAGGACTCTAGTGTAGAATAATGAGTTTCTCCTCATTTGATCTTACTGCTTTACAGACCATTGCCAAAACACTCAAGATAGTGTGCGAAGTTTTATCATCTGACCACAGTGGTGGGCCTGCCCGGATCCCTTTTAGCACCTTCCAGTTTCTCTACACATATATTGCTGAAATGGATGGGGAGATCTCTGCATCACACGTCAGCCAAATGCTGAACTACATTGAACAGGAAGTGTAAGTAAACTTTTACCAGTTGGAAGGGAAAGAATATTGGGAAAACAAATCTAGTGGGCCATGATATAGCAAGGCTGTTATATTATACTGGTCTGGGAACAGAGAAATGCTACAAGGAACAAGGAATAAGGATCTGAAAGAGAAGGGAGAAGGGAAGGGAAGAGTGGTATAGGACAGTGATTCCTAGAGTGCTACTGAGACTCCTGGGGCCACAGCACCTGGGGAAATGTTGGAGTTGCCACTTCTTAGGCTGTCGCCTGAACCTACCAATCAGAAACTTTGGGGGCCAAGCCCAGGCATCAGTGTTTCAGCAAGCCCACCAGGCGACTCAGGTTCAGCTCAGGGCCAGTCTGAAAGGGTGGAGAAAAAGAAGATGGTGAGGGCAGGAGCCACAGCAGAATTCATTTGGAGTGAGAGAGCTGTTTAAATATTGTCATCCTTAAGTTTGATTATTAAACAAACTAACCCCAGACATACATTCTTCACAAACAGAATTGGTCCTGATGGTTTAATCAAGGTGGATGACTTTACCCAAAACCCCAAGGTTCGGCTGGAGTAAAAGCACAAGTTTTGGCAATTTTACAGTAAGATACAGAGATGATCATTCTTCATAATAACTGAACACCATACACCAGCCAGTATCAATTTCTTTGTACAACTGGCACACACTAATAAACAATTAACCAAATATATGGCATCAGAAATGTGTGGAGTTAAGATGTAAAACTGTTGGAATGAAACACCTACATCAACAGAAGATTAGTATTTTTCCCAAATGGACACTGAGTAAAAGTGGCTGATGAAGCATGTCAGATTTTCAGAGGTAGAATGCTAATACCAGGCAGTTTCAATATTTTGTGATTGTTGGGCATAACTTAGAAGAGTATCTTTTACATGTCAATCTACATTTTTACTAATTCATTTCTCCATTTGTCTGTACGATGCTAGACATTCATTCATTTACTCACTCACCAATGTTTATCATGTTAGCTATATGCCAGGTGTAGGATTGCCAGATAAAATACAAGACACCCAGCTAAATTCGAATTTTGTGTAAAAAGATACTTTTTTAGTTTTTTTTGTTTGTTTTGCTAAACCTGCCAAGAACTAGATTGGCTTCTGGACATATATCTGAATTCCACCCTCAAGGAGCTCACAGCCCAACACTTTATTGCAAGTGGCCCCAAGAGGCACTAATAAAGTGCTGCAGAGATCAGTATTAAAGTGTCAATGTCAACAGATTTTTCTGATAGCATGTATAGATTAGATAAATGGGACACTCTTGGAAGGGTCCCCTGCATGAGCTTAAGACCTTCTGACAAGGTCAACAAAAGATTTTTCTTTCTCCCAGAAAGCAGATGAAATTATTGTTGCTAGTGGTTATTATTCTTGAAGCCAGGTGTGCCAAGGTGGCTGGAACCTGTCTGTCTGCTATATGATCTTAAAAGTTGTTTTTGTATAAAAACGTTGGTTTGCTTTTTTGATATACCTATATCTCCCTACTGAATTGGGGAGAAATTTGTCTATTCGTGTTGAAATAAGTAAAAAATTGTGATGGGAGTTCAACATAGGTCCTTGATTTTCACCCACAGTGAAACAGTAAAAAGAGCTGAAACAAATTGTACCCCCCAGTGACCCAGCTCCACCTTCAGGGGCTGTGCAAAGACTAATGGTCCCTGCTGTCTGCCAGCTTTGCCCACGTGGCCCCTCACTCAGAGCCACTCTGGGATCTTGGGCAGTTTGAAGAGGCTGAGGCACTGCAGTTGAAACCTGACACCGTAATTAATCAGAAGTAGAGAATGAGTGAAATCTTTCACCTGCCTCAGTCTCCGGGTTTCTGTTTCACTGTGATCAAAGGATTTAAATATGATCCCGCCTGGAAGTAGGGAATGAAGGGGAACAGAGGGAACAGCTCCAGTTTGAAAGCCCCTAAGACAACAAAGTTAAGTTCATAAACATAATGAAAGCAAAAGGGTCCTTTGTACCTTCGAGAAACCAGTGAAATTTGAAACTAAAGTTCAGAACCCCTGAGCATAATCCTTCAAGAGTGAGGCCAGTGAAACCCCAGCCATCAGAGTGAATACCAGACACAGATATGAAGTCATTGATGGCACTGTTAGCCATCGGCTGGCACCAAGCACAATTGGCAAGACCACTGTGGCATGGCCATTTGCTCATCTTCCAAGCTGCCACATGGTGTCTGCCATTTTCCTCCCCTCCTGCTCTGGCTCTCTGTGGCAGTGCTTCCTCTAAGCCATGGATACTGCCAAGTCACAGATACGCATCAGAGACGCAGCCTGTACCGCACATCTGCCCTAACCAACAGTCACCCCAAGGGTGCAAAACAGCTTTGCCCTCCAGCTGCATGATGCTATATTGACAACATTATAAATACTATACTGACAATAATAGCCAACATGTATTAAGCCCTTACTACATGCAAGCCACTATGCACAGTTCTTTACACATATTTTCAAACCTATGAAGTCAGTACTGTTTTCACCAATTATAGATGAAGAAACAGTCTTAGAGAAATTAAGGCAGTAAGTCACTGTAACTGATGAGGAGTTTGAATCCAGGTCTGTCTGACTCCAAACTTGTGCTGCCTCACATACTTAATTCCTGTCTTACTGTGGAGCATCCCCTCCTCTGAGACAAGGATGTCAGTGCAAGTAGTTTATTTGGGCAACAACCCCAGGACCAGTGGAGAGGGGGAAGGAAAAGGGATTCGAAGAAAGCCAGTGGAGGGCGTGTCGTCAAGCCAGTCAGGCTGCAGGCCTCTGGGAGACAGTACAGAACAGGCCTCAGAGCCACCCCTGCCTGAGGTTTGAGGAAGCTCTTCACACTCATCGGCTGAAGGGTGCGACCTCACTAAAGTCCCATTTGTCCCTGATTGAGGGCTGCCTCCAAGGCATTAACCTTCTCCCTTCAGCTTGCCTGCTTCAGGCCCTGAGCTTGTCCTTTTGCTCCAGAGAAAAAAAAAAATCTCTCAGTTAGGAAGTCACAGGTCTTCACAATAAGCAGCCTTTGAAGGCATGGGAGTGGGGCATGCCAACATGTGTCAAAATGCCTTACAGGGATTTCAGTAAACAAACCCTTGGCATTTCAGTCACTATGGTTTCTCTCCTTTGGTCAGGCACAGTCCATAGGGGCTGCAAGGCCATCAGCTGACATCAAGTAAGTGACTGATGCTGTGTTGTATTAAAATCCCACTTGACCCCCAAACCTGGAATATTGTGCCAAAATCAACTGTTTCTTCCTTGTCATGAGATTGTTGCAAAGGGACAATGCTTGGTCCTTGCTGCCAACAGACCCTTGCCAGATTCATTCCACTGGTCTTCTTATCATGACCAGAAATATCTGAATCCTAGCATGACCCCAGTTAAGCTGTCAAACTAAGATCCCTGTAACATATGGTTTGTGTTTCTCCTTTAAAAAGAAAAACATTCAGGAAGCAATAAAATCAGGATTTTATAAAGAAAAAGAAGTGGGCTCTTTCTTTCCTAAATTAAGCTATTTGGATTAAAGTGAAGGATGCAAATACATTTAAAGCTTCAGTGGAAAATGCAAAGATTACGGCTCAGTTTCATTTTCTTTGTGCTCCATGCCTTCTCTCTCCTTGATGCTATTCAATCAGGCACCTTATACCCCTAGTTAAGCAACTTCCTAGACCACCGGGGCCCTGCAACAGGAGAAGCTGAACACTCAAGTGTGGAAAGCTGGTTTTAAAGTAGGTAAGAACAGGATTCTTGGCTGGAATCCTTGGAAAGACTCCTGAATGCCTCTGAAAACACTGTGTATATAAATATTTCCAAAACGTGCATATTAGCATTTTTCCAATGAAAAAAATACAAAGCTTTTGGCAAGTTCTTAAAATTGTATATGACCATAAAAATTTAAGAACCCTTGGATTTTGATTGAAACATGAGTGTATATGTATGTTAAAATTCATCAAGCTGTACACTAAGATTTGTGCATTTTATTGTGTGTACCTCAATATAAAAAATTATTTTAAAAAGAAAAAGAAAAAGAATGACTTTGGGTTAGAAATAATTTCATAGGGCATAAAATGGCTTGCGGAAAAGCAACAAGGCAGCCTCATACCCTTCCCAGGATTTATTATCTAATCCACAGCTTCTTACTTTTTAAATCTTGTATCCTAGCTATAAATCTTAACTGTGTTTTTAGTTTATATTTTCATATACTTTGCAACTTCAGTTGTTTCCTATGAATTGGAACACGAGTGAACATGAACAGAGATTTTTCACACTTTGGAGGTGAACCAATTGGAAAAGCCATTGGTCCAATGCGCTAAACTATAAAACACTGCCTAGACCAAGCAGAGTCATTAATCATGATACCAGAGGGATCCAAACTTCCTGGCTGAGTCCTGTACAATCCTGAGTCTCAGAGTACTCAAGTCAGCTTCAGTGTACCATAGCAGTCCAAACGCTGGTTGGTTCATTTATTTACTCAACAATTTAAAAATCCCTACTATGTTAAAGTCATTGTGCTCAGTACTGAGGATGCTACACTGAATAAAATAACGGTCTTGCTTTCATAGAGATTAAATTCTACTTGGGAAGACAGACATTAAATAACTAATCACACAAGTGAAAAGTGGGGTTATGCCATCACAGTATAGGGGCCCACAATTTGGTTTGCAGAAGTGGGATAGAGAGATTAAGGAAAGACTTTCTTGAGTAAGTAACTCAAAAGCAAAGTCAGAAACCTACGGCTTCAGACACCACACATGGCTCAGAAATGTGTATCTTGTAGCCCATCTCTCTTCACCAAGCTCCAGGCTCAAACATCCAGTAGCCTACTTAATATCATCTCTTGGATGACTCCAAAGCACTCCTAATAAACATGCCCAGAAACTAGTTCCTAGTTCACATTTTTTCCATAGTAAAATTAGGTGAAAATGAGTTCATAAATTTCCCTCCTAAATATGGATTGCTCCCATTAGCCATCTAGATACAAAACCAAGAAACTAAGACCAATGGAAAAACTCCCCCTACTCTTACTTCCCATTCCACCAAGTCTTGTCTATTTTACTTCCTATGCCTTTCTCATATCAGTCCTCTCATCTTCTCTCATCTCACCCTATACTCTTCCTCTGAACAATATGGTAGCTTTCTGTCTTACCATGGTAGAAAACAGAAGACACTCTTAACTGAGATTTTACAGATAATTTTTAGGAGGCGGGAGCCAAGATGGCGGCGTGAGTAGAGGAGCAGAAATCTCCTCCCAAAACCACATATATCTATGAAAATATAACAAAGACAACTCTTCCTACAATAGAGACCAGAGGACACAGGACAACATCCAGACCACATCCACACCTGTG